AGCTCATGGACATTGTTTCAACTAAGAAAATCAAGAAGTTCATCTGGAAGTCTATCGTTTGTCATTTCAATGGACACATGTCTAGGGAAAGAATTTTCCATAACGGCACCCCAAATGTCTTCTTATATTCCTCAATATAACCCGTGAGTAATTTGAACATAGACCCACTTAGTCAGTTTTGGATGATCATCCAAATATGAGAACTTGTCAATTTCAAACTGACATTGCTTACATATCACCTACTATAGTCTCATCGTCTCAATAGACTAGAGATTGGGGGGTTGTGTGTTGCTAGACACTATGTTACCCTAGTTTAAATCGGCTATAAGATGATCTTTAACAAAAACTTGAAATATTCAAGATCGGATCCCACAAAGGCAAAAAATACAAATCATATCTCTATTTTATCTCAACCACACCACCCATTCGTAGGACACAAGGAGAACAGGCACAAATGGAAAGGTTGAGGTTCTGAAAGTTAAGAGGTTTCATGTACACCTTAACTTTGATCGAACAAGCCTTGACAACTAGAAAATCAAATTTAGAAGCTTTAATGATACCAAAGTCTCAGAGAAAGAAACTGAAAGGCATAATGGTGGACCTCTCCAAGTATGTAATAGTATTCTAGGTCAGTTATAATAAAGATATTGTCCTCTCATTTCACCTTAATAATGCTCGAACCTTTTGAGTCTAAAATTTGTTGTTGTATTCACTTCCTACCTACAACTTAAGTCCTTTTCTTTTTAGACAACATCTCAACAACAATAGTGGAGGGATTTTCCTCAGTTGTAGGTGGAACACTCATGATGGCTACTTAACCTGTTATATCTCCATCTTCCTCTAATATACAACTATTTATAATGTCATGAACATCATCCTCACTGGAGAAACACTCTTTGATGTAGAGTGAACCTCCCCTCTTAACTAAGGGATTACCACCTAATGAAGAAATACTCAAAGAAACAAATACATATATGACAAAAAATAACACAATAACAATAACAAATGGATAACAACAACATAATGTATCAACATAATTGAAAGTTAAAGAGAATATAAGGGAAAATGAGCTATAAAAGAAGACGTGAGAAAAAAAACTAAAGGACAAAGTAGGAGAAGATTGAAGAGTACACTTCCTTTATAGAGAAGAATAAAATGTTTTGTGTTAAAAAATGAAACTATAGCTTTTTAATAAATATATCATTTCAATTTGTCACACCAAAGAATTAACCATCAATATTGCATCTTTGAACAACAATTTCTTTTATTGCACTTAATCTTTAATTGCTTTTGATAACTCATGGTCTTTGCTTCTTTAATTTCTTTTCAAGTGCTTTTGGTTTTCAAACTTAAACACAATACTAACATATGATTAAAAAAAGGTATGAACACTTGATCTCTATGTTTGGAATCAATGAATCAATCAATTCAAATCAAACTAGAATTTTAAACTTAAATTTGATTCAAATAATATTCAAGCAGCAAGGATTTTATGATTAAGAAAACTAAACAAAAAAACATGTCTCTAAAACAAGAAGTAAACACATTACATATAATCATATTCAATAAGCAACATTAGTTTTGATCATCAATACATTAGTCGATCAATAACAATGCATAACATCATTTATTGAGTGTACCTATCCTAGATTATCATACAAAAACACAACTCACATATATGTAACAAATTTTCCAGTAGAAATTGTTAATGTAGTTATGGAATTAGCTATAAAATTAAGATTTGTGATGGAAACTCAAAATAACTCATGTTATACTTTACTCTTCTTGTGTTCCAAGGATTCACCAAAACTTTGATTACCAAATGATATGGTTTAATATGATAACTGAATATAATTTTTTAATTAGAAACAATTTGTTTCATAGTTTGAGTTTTATTTAGAATTCAATTATTAAAATTTCATCTTCACTATACACAAAATTAATTATTTAAACAAATGTGACATTTAATTCATGAAAAAGAAAAAGAAAAGAAATGAAATGATAGCTCTTTAATAAATGTATTATTTTAATTAAAATCTCATCATTAAGACATGTTGCTTCAATATTTGTAAATGCTATTTGCTAATGAACATTAAAATGTAAATGATTAATAGTAAATGCACATATAAGAAGCCTAACAATATTTAATTTTGGGTTCAATATCAAACCATGATTATAAATTCCAATATACAAAATTGAGGGAAACATTATTCATTCCAAAGTAGGTTGAACCATTTGTTCAAATAAGGCTTAATTAAGCTTGTTTATTCTTGACCAATCATATACTCAACCTTCATACCTATCTTTATTAAGACTAACAAACTCTAGGACTTGTCCGTTAAACTAAACATGCATGGTTTGTTATTTTGTTATTCATATTCATATTCAATTTGGATAATCTAGTATGTTTTACTCCCATAAATAGAGCATTTAATTTTCACCTAAGTCGTCATCTTTTTTACTTACTCATATACTTACTCTCTTTAATTAAACTGACTTGATCATTGAAGAATCTTCGCAAGTAGATCTTGTTGGGAAAGGAGCAACAACATCAGGGATAAACTATTGAATGGGTTACAAACCAATCATATAACCATTTTCAATATAAACTTTTATGGTTTAAGATTTTGATTTGAAGATGATGTCTTATTCTCTTTTATAGTTGGTTTGTCAGCTTATTCGTGAATATCTTCCTAGTGTTGTCCCTCTTGAAAATGTCCAATAGTGGTATTAAAGTTGACAAGTCATCTTGGTGATTGGTTCAATAAAGTACAATATGTAATAGGTGATGTATCTTAAGATTGTAGATCCTTGTATCAAAAGTTATCTTAATAGGTGTTTCAAGATAGTGTGTCCACTACTACAAAATAGAGTTTTCACATCGATTACTTTAAGCATTTTACATCGGCTGTTAAATCAATATAGATCCCACTAAAGTAGAAATTGTGAGAATTTTACATTGGTTGATAACCGATGTAGAAAAGTAGACAAATAACCTTAGTTTTTTTTACAATCGATGTTATATGTCCACTTATTTTTAAAAGGAATTAATATGTATCGCACATGTAAATATCAATATTTCATACATAATCATCGATGTTGTATTATTTTTTTAATATTTCCTACATAATACAACAAAATAATATCAATAACAATATACAACATTAACGACAATTTTTTGGTCCATTCTTAATAAAGTTTATCTTATATTAGTAAAATAAATAAAAGTGATATATTTACCTAGAAAAATGACAGCAATAGAGAGACGTGAGGTGACAATGATATAAAGAAATAGTGACAATGTCATAGTTAGTAGAAAAGAGTTTTATCTTCATTCTTTTTCGTGTTAGGGTGACGACTAACCATTAGATAATTACGTAATAACTTTGTTTCGTTACGGTAGTTGAACTATCTTTGGAGAGGAGGAAATTTGGAGATTTGAAAAGAAAAAACTTAAAAAATAATGCGTTTTGGAGAAGAAGAGTTTCAGAAAGGAGAATATTCAAAAATGATAATCTTCGCAGAAGACAAAGTTTGAGAGAATGCAATGATGACACAATAAAAAGAATTTTTAGGATAATAATGAGAAAATAAGAAAATGCCAAGTAATAGTATATAAAAGAATTTTTACATCAATTTTATTAAAGCTGATGTAATATCTAAATACATATGTTAGATTCTACATTGGTAATACAACCGATGTAAAAAATTTATCAATTATTACAAAAATGTTACCGCGTTTATATTTAAATTGATTATCATATAATCGATATAGATAATATAATGTAAAAAGATTATTTTAAATTAATAATCTTATTATAATCAACATGAAAGAGACTAACTTGAGAGGATTATTAAAATTTAAACATAAATTAGAATCTAGTATTTAAATTAAATAAAAAAAATTGAACAAGAAAAACCCATCAACTTATAACCTTAACAAACTTGAAGATAAAAATGAGACAATATTATCTTACTTGATTTTCTTATGAATTCATTCATTTATAAATATGCTTTTATTATTATTTATTCACTGAGCGTACTAAAAAAAATAAAAAAAATCTCAATATTGATTCCTTGAGTTCATCATGTAGAACTTACCATTCCAATATAAAACTCCTAATGTTAAGTGCCACAAACAAGAAAACCGAATTTAAGAAATGATAGAGAAATAATAATTTAACAAAACAACCATATATATTAACACTAAAAAAACTTCATAATCTATACTAAAAAATCATCTTCAAAGGTCGAATACTAATTAGAGTTAAAAAAAATAAATTAAAAATGTACACAAATCATAAATTTCTTGCATAAGCTTGTAGAATTTGAAATGAAAGAGGTGAAAGAAGGAAGGAGAAAGGAATGGATGATGGGTTTCCAAGTTGCAAGATAATAGAGGTTTAAAGGGTCGGCCCCCAAGAGATGTTGACAAGGAAAAGTCGTTGGGTGAGTATCCTTGACGTGTACCGGCTGCTGTAGACGAAGAACAACTCTATTTTGGACCGCGTTCACTCCCCGCCCCACCTAAGCCACACACCAACATCAAAACAAAACCTTTACCCTTTCCACTCTTTTTGTACATTTTGACCACAAACTTTGAATTTGGAACCAGTCTCCTTCTTAGACTTCACTCGCTTTGTTCCTTCTCACTGCCAGTGACACTTCTTTGACCCACCTAAGCTCACTCTTTCCCACCAAGAAACTCCCATAATGTACCCAAAAACGTGCTCCACTATACTCCACCTGTATCTATCTGTTATTTCTCAAATAAACAATTGAAATAAATATTTTATACTTATGTTAGCTTGCACACCGCGCTTACTTGCACACCACTCGTCACGCAACTTCCCTCAGTTCCTCCTCACCTCCTTATAACCCCTTCTCCCACTACTCTCAATCCTAACTCAATCAAACCCAACACAAATCGAAACTCACTCTCACACCTTCAATTTCTCAACTTTCTCTACACACCTTCGTATTCATATCATAACAAACACATGGCTTTGGAAGCTCTCAACTCTCCTACAACAACTGCTCCATCTTTCCCATTTGACGACCCAACAATTCCATGGGCGAAACGCAAGCGTTCCAAGCGCTCCCGCGACAATCCTTCCGAAGAAGAGTACCTCGCTCTCTGCCTCATCATGCTCGCTCGCGGCACCACCGCCACCACCAACCGCCACGTCACCGCTCCACCGCAACAACCCACCCGAGATCCTTCCTCCAAGCTCAGCTACAAATGCTCTGTCTGCGACAAAACATTCCCCTCTTACCAAGCGCTCGGTGGACACAAGGCCAGCCACCGGAAACTCGCCGGCGGCGGCACCGACGACCAGCCCACCTCCACCGCCACTAGCTCCGCCACCACCGCCGTTGGCGGTAGGGCCCACGAGTGCTCCATCTGTCACAAGTCATTCCCCACTGGACAGGCCCTCGGCGGACACAAACGTTGTCACTACGAAGGTAATGGAAACGTAAACAGTACCAGTGCTGTGACAGCCTCGGAAGGTGTGGGTTCCACTCACACTGTGAGTCCAGGCCACCGCGATTTCGATCTCAATATCCCGGCTTTTCCGGAGTTTGCGACAAAGGTCGGAGAAGACGAGGTTGAGAGCCCTCACCCTGTGATGAAGAAGCCACGTCTCTTTGTGATTCCCAAGATTGAAATCCCTCATTTTCAATGAACTCGTTGAATTTTAGTTAAACCTCATTAGCGTATGATTTTTTATTTTTGTTTTGACTTTTCGATTATTTGGAGAATTTTGAGCCTTTTGCCTTGATTTTGTACATAGTAGTTGGAGTTTTGTTTGACCGGACCAGTTTTCTGGTTTAGGTTGTACTTTCACAGCAGCAGATTGGGAATTCAATTCAATTTATTTATTTAATTCAATAATTTATCTGGAAAGATAAGAAAAGAAAAAAAAAAAAAAATATATATATATATATATATATATATATATATTTCTTTTCTTTTTTTCCGATTTTGCGTTTGCTAGTTACTTTGGAATAATAATTTATGATGAAGGAGTTAAGCGTGAGAATTTTGCCATCATGAAACGGCAGGGTCGCGTGGCGAGTGCGGCAAGTCGTGGTGGCACTGTCGGTTTCACGGTTTGATTCCAGTTAAAACATTTTTTCGCATCTTTTAATGATTAATATATTTTTTATAAAAATTATTTAAGTTTTTATATTTATACTATAAATTTTTTAATTAATAGTAATGTTAGAGTTGGTATCTACTTTCAATCTAATTTGGAGTTGAGTCAGTGATCACTCGAACTTATAGCAGCTTTGGTTTTATTTCCGGTTAAAATTACGTCAATTTCACGCTTAAAACCAAACGCGTATTTATAGCTTTGAATTTTCACATGAAAGATGCACGGAAACGCGGAACCAAACACTGCACAGTGCCTTGATTCTGAAATTGAATTGCGCTCCACGCATGTAAGTGCTGGTCTCACTTTTTTTTTTTCGAATATAATAAGAGAATAATTTTAAGAAACAAAGAAAACTGTAATTTTCCCTTAAAAATATAGTTTGTAATGATTTTAACAGAGGGGATGAGGATGTTTGGTGTATAAACTATATAAAGTATGGTTTATAGATAAGAACGAGGTTTAAGCATTTTACACATTGTGATGCAACGGAGTCGCTGGGAATGACACGTGCGGTTACTTATCTTTTGAACTACTTATACATTTTTTACATATTTTATTATATATTTGTATTGTATGCAATAAACATGAACGTTGACTCTGTTAATTTACTCGCATTTTCATCCAATGGCTTGTGCCGCATCATTGAAGCAAATGGTCCTAACATTGCTAAATGTCAAAGCGCCATTAACAATAGTTGGTGGTTTGATTCGTTTTACATGTGTGTATTAGGTAAGGAATGGAATCGAAGTTTCGTTTTACATGTGAACGATGAAAAAGTAAATAAATAATAAGAATTTTGTGGTGCTGCAGTTACATTTTCAAGATAAACGGTCTCTTATAGTTTATCAAATTAACCACGTACCCAATTTTAGGTCAAATCTCTTTGCGTATTAAAGGTAAAGTAACATTTTTGTGTTCATACCACGATGTTTTTTCGCAACACAATAGGTGATTGTACTCACTAAATCGTGCTGACCGCGTGTACCTTCATGCACTTTTTCAGATGCACACGTTTTTCTAATTCTGGTTTACACGTTAAAAAAATTTCCACTTCCGGAATAAGATTGGGAATAAATTACATGATATGGTATAACTTTTTTGTTGGAAGTTCAGTATGCATATATACCTCCTTGAAAATAAATGATTTATACATCTATAACATAATGAAGAAAAGTTAGAAGTGAACAAAATTGTGACTTGTCATTTTTTCGAATTAGGTGTTATTTTTTTTTTTTGGTAGCTTTTACTTTAGTTGCTTATATACCATATAATGGCATCCTAAACATTGTAGATAACAGTTAAGATTTTGAAACTATAATTCTCATCAAATGTAGACTGACTAGATATATTAAGATGATTATTATGCAACTATATTATACGAAATTTCCAACAAAAGTTAGTTGTGATCAACTATGCACATATATCTTAAAAATATACAATATTTTAGTCAGCTTACTTGTCCAGCAAGGTGGTGTATTAGTGAACTCAATAATTGAATGGTCTTTTAAAACAATGACATTTTTATATTCTACTAAATACTGTAGACAGGTAGCAGAAGAGTATAAATTTGATAGATTTAAAACAGAAATTATACTTTAAATAAGACAATATACTTAAATAATAAAATATATAAGTTATTCATTTATTCACAAAATAATTTAGGTTCACATGTCATTTCAGTAGTTTGTAACTTCTTTTACTATCTGAAAAGTTTGTTTGTTCGTTTAGTAACGTGTAGATTTTTTAACACAATATAAAAATTAAAAAATTAAAAATTAAAAAATTGTGCACAAATTAATTTATCTATAAATATTATTTTATATAAATTTAAATAATAAATATTTTCAAAATTTATTTTATCAATAAAATAATTTTAAAATTTATATAAAAATATTATATAGACATTTTTACTTTTATTATTTTACATTAAGTTACTTTACCTTATAATTTAAGCAAACTCTTATAATAAAATAAGTTAATTTAACAGATTTGAGCTATCTAAAATTTCAAAACTTCCGTTACTGACTATGTTTAGTTTTAATACATTAATTGAGGAATACGTATTATGATATTTTGTTAATATTTTTATCTTTAATCTAGATAAAACAGAGAAGTTTAGAATAATAATAAAACAAACATATTTTTATCTCAAAAATAACAGTTTTAATAATAATAATAATAATAATAATAATAATAATAATAATAATAATAATAATAATAATAAATTTAAGAACAAAATATTAATGTCAAAAAGCGAGATTAAACCACTCTAATTCCTTAACCTTAGTTGAAGAACGTCTTTTTAGACAGACACAGATAATCCACATTACTTGGAAATAATCATGGAGAATATTTCCAAAGATAAAATCTATACGATCTAAACCAAAGTTAGAAAAAATGATATTTCAAATAAAAAATCCTAAAGATATTAGAAAAATTCATAAACATATAAAAATGATATTCACATGTACTTGAATATTTTTTTCAATTGATTTGTATTTGTTAGGATAACTAGTAAATAGAAGGACAAATTAAGGTCAACGTCAAGAGTGCCACGAGAATCCTAAATTCTACGAAGATAGAAATATTTTTCATATTTTTGCAAATTATTTCTTGAATTTCAAAATTTGATATATATATATATATATATAGTGACGGATCTTTTTGGAGCTGAGGGTGAGTGGCCTCAAAGTTTTGTAGCTCACATGTAATTTATGATTTTGACTTCACAAACTTAATTAACATTTAATATATTTAATTGTATATTTACAATTTTATCGCTTTCAGTTCTCATCAGTTTTATAAGCTCTTATATAATTTATGATTTTATCTCTTCTAACTTAACGATCATTTAATATATTTAAGTATATATTTACAATTTTATCCTTTTATCTTTATCTTCTTTTTCCTTTTATATTTATTAATAATATATTATTTGACCCTCCAATATGAATGGTATATATATATATATATATATATATATATATATATATATATATATATATATATTGTATATCTTATGATTATATTTATTTCTTGACGGATCCGCTAGTTAAAATATCTTATATACATAGCAGACCAGAATTTATTATTTGAGAAGTTAAATCTATCAAATTAATTAGCATTTATGGTGGATTTGGTTAAGGATGCCGAAATAGTGCTCTGAGATCTATTAGGTGTACAAGTCTCTTATTCTTCTTCACATCAATTATTTTTAATTCTTAAAGGGGAAATAATTTGAGAAGATTCTTAAAATGAATTTTTAGTTATGTGTATTTATGAATATAATTAATAATTGTTTTTTTTTCCTTATAGAGAGGGAGTGAATCTTTCATGGAAAAAAAGAAAAAGAGAACAACATTAAATTTAACAACTACACATAGAAGAATAGTGTGGTCCACAAAGTTAGACGCAGACACTGCCTTCCAACTGCCACCAACGTCCTTGGCGGAATCTTTCATGTTGGCGCTGTCGTCCAGGTTCCTCCAACCTTTCCCTTTATCTTTTTTTAATTGCTTGAGGGCGCATTCTAATTTCTTTGTAAAAAGAACTAGAAAAGGAAAAAGAATATATTTGGTCTTTAATTTTCAAAATATATTTAATATTTAAAAAAAATTATTGATTATTTTTTACGTAAAAACTGAATTTTTATATAATATTTATTTTATAAATTTTTATACGTAACTTAAAAATTTAATAATAATTTTTTATTATTTTAGATTTGATAAAATAAATAAAATTATATTTTTTAACTTTAACGATTAATTAATTGTTTTTTAAAATACAAAATTAAAACTAAATTTTATAAAAAAAATACAAAAACCAAAATTATATGATTTGCTAATATATTATTATAAATAATTATGTAATAGTATTTTGAATACTTTCACACTGATATATGCATGACTTTAGAAAAGTGGAGGAGATGAAATAGTTTTTTTTTTTTATTTCATTCCATTTTATTTTAAAATTTGGATAAAAAAAAATTAGTTAAATTTCATTTTCTTTATTTTATATCAGACTATTACAATGCTAGGATATTTAAAGGAAAGAAATAAAAACGTAAATATGAAAAAGTTGTTTTACTTTTTATAGAAAATGTTATTTGAAATTTTTAATTTAAGAAAATATTCTATATTAGAACTGTTTGATTTACAAATACTTTTATTTTTTATTTAATTTAAAACATAATTTTTTAAATTAAAAATGTATATAAATAACGAAAATAGTTTTGTATTATTCTCATTAACTTTATATGATTTTTTAAAAATATTTAAAAAAAACATTTCTCCCAGCAAATAATTACATTTCCAAGAATCACTTGATATACATTTGAACAAAGACATTCCAGGGAATCTTATAGGATATTTCGATGCAAATTTTTAAAGTAAGAATTGATTTGATAATATATATATATATATATATATATATATATATATATATATATATATATATATATATATATATATATATATATATATATATATATGTGTGTGTGTGTGTGTGTGTGTGTGTTGTGGCTAATA